AGACAGAAAGCGAAAAATCACTCCCCAGGGGGATGGCCACGCCACAATCCCTTCTCCTCCATTCTCCTCTGGGATCTTGGGCACACATGCACATGCACCCAGTGTGAGGTGGTTTTTTTTTTTTAGAATTATTTTATGTAACTTTATTGATTTATCAATTTATTTTAATTTGACCAGAGAGGACCTGGAGGAGAGAGGGAAAGTGAGAAAGCAAACTGCCAGGTCAAGGACTCAAAACATGGTCAACCATGTGAGAGACCAGTGCCTTTAACTGCCATGCTACCTGCTGGTCCCCAGCGTGAGTTTTCTTTTTCTTTTTTTTTTTTTGAGAGAGATTTTTGCAGTAGGGCGCGTGTGCGCGCCAGAAAGACAGACAGAAAGTGAGAAATCACCCCCCCAGGGGGATGGCCACGTTGCAATCCCTTCTCCATTCTCCTCTCGGGATCTTGGGCATGCACACACTTACACCTGGCGTGAGTTTAAGCCACTGGGTCCAGGACTCGAACCGCTGTCAACTGCATGAGAGTCCAGAGACATAGCCATTACGCTAACTGCTATTCCCTTATGTGTTTCTTTGTGCCTGTCAACATCATTGCCTTAAGGCCCCTGGGAAGAGTCCTGGGAAGGGGAGAGGAGGAAACTCATGGTTTTCTGTCACACGAGGCAGTGTGCTGGGCACTTTCTGTAACAACCCCGTGGCCTTTTATGGACACCTGTGTGAGGGATTTCACTGGGTCCAGTGCCAGGACCTGGGCTTCTGCTTATTTCAGAGACACTTGGAAGATGACTGTGCCCCAGTGAAGGACGTGTTATGTTTACCAGGCCCTGCCTTTGTCCTTGTCACTTGTCACTCACGTGCAGCATGTCTTTGAATCCTCAGTGCAGCCCTATTGTAGTAGCTATATCAACCCACGTTTCAAATGAGGATACTAAAAGGGGTGAAGTGACTAACTTTTTTTAGGTCACCGCCAGCTACAACTCCACAGGATATTTATTTATGCTCTTGGTCTCCCCTGTGTGCTCTGAATGGCAGACCGTACCCCAAGTCTTTTCTTAGCAACCCATGTGTACAGGGAAGTAGAAAGAGAAGGGCCTCGAACCCAGCAAAAAGCAACACTCTGTACTTTTATAGATATACTGGCACTTGAGGGGTCGGCAGGTGGTGTGGTGGTTAAAGGCACTGGACTCCCATGTGGCCGACCATGGTTCAAGTCCCGGACTGGTGGCTTGCTTTCTTACTTTCCTTCTTTGTCTCTCTCTGATCAAATGGAAAATAATAATAATAAATAAAGTTAAATAAAATAATTCTTTAAAAAATATATTGGCACTTGAATTTGACACAGTTCTTAGAAGTAGGACCTGTTGGGACCAGCAGTTGGCATAATGGCTATGTCGCTGGACTCCCACATAGTTAACTGTGTGTTGGAGTCCCAGACCCAGTGGCTTAACCTTGTGCTGGGCTTGTGTGCGTGCGTGCCCGCCCAAGATCCCGAGAGGAGAATGGAGGAGAAGGGATTGTGGTGTGGCCATCCCCCCTGGGGGTAATTTCTCACTTTCTGTCTCTCTGTCTCTGTCTTGCTGGTGAGCACACACACCCTATAGCAAAAACCTCTCCAAAAAAGAATATTAAGGGATTTCACAATCCAGCAGTCCATAACTTTGGCTTATAACTTTGAATGCCATGACTCTTACAGTAATGAGAAAGTGACAATACACAGGATGAGCTGGTACTTTAAAAAAACTAGTGTGAGCCAGAGATCTTTGATGGAGCTTTGTCAGAAGAATTTCAGAAACTGCAAGTTGTTACACAGATGTATTGATTTAATTAGTCTAGATAACACCATTTATTTATGCTTAAGCATCTCACACATGCAAAAAGTTGGTAATTCAGAGTCACACAATTTGTGAGTTATCTTCTATCCCACGAGTTGTAGCTTCTGAATACCAACTTTGGTGATGTGTGTGTCAGATGCTTAAGCATAAGTAAACAATATTGTGTAGACCAGTTAAGCAGTACAGTTTGGTTTGGGGAATTCTGTTGACATAGAGCTTCATGTAAAATCTGGCAGGTTTTTTGTTTTTTAAAAAGGAAATTTTTGCTGTAGGGTGCGTGTACTCTCCAGAGAGCCACAAAGCGAGATATCACCGCCCCCCCAGGGGGGATAGCCATACTGCAATCCCTTCTTTGTTCTCCTCTTGGGATTTTGGACATGCACACTCACACACCCTGCTTGAATTTTAAGCTGCCAGGTCCAGGACTCAAACCATAGTAGGCTATGTGGGAGTTTAGTGACATAACCATTATGCCATCTGCTGGTCCCTGGTAATAGCTTTTTAGTAACACTAATTTTTTCTTTCTTTTTTTTTTTTCCCAAGGTTTTTGCCATAGAGCACATGTGCTCACCTGAGAGAGAGACAGTGATAGGGAAACTGAAAAATCAGTGCCCAGAGAGGATGGTCACACTGCAGTCCCTTCTCCATTCTCCTGGAGTTTGGGAATGCACACATACACGCGTGCCATCATTCTCAAGCTGCCAGGTATAACCCAAACCACAGTCGCATATGGGGGGCCCAGTGCCTGAACCACCCCACCACCTGCTGGCCCTGACGTTAATTGTTTTAAACGAAGATGGCATATCTGGGTTCTGTGATTAAACCCTCTTGGGGTGTCTTGTGGCTCCTTAAATTAGCCATATAATGGATATTCTAGCTAGTGGGTGGGAAAGGGAAGAGTTACTCTTTGAGCAAAACGGTTCACTTATTTCGTGATAGGTTATAGACTATTATTCCTTCTCTTGGAGAGGGAAACCAGTTAGAATCCTTTTGCTGTTCTCCTTCTCCCCTCTAATTTGAACTGTAAGAGCACCAAGGTATTGTATGTCTGCCACAGTCTTCAGTACTGTCCTCACACCTCTAAAAATGCTATTAGTGGGGACAGCAGTTGGCGGGGTGGTTGGGGTGCTGGATCCCACGTGACTGACTCCATTGTTTGGGTCCAGGACCTGGTGGCTTGACAAACATGCGGGGGACGTGTGCTCCTGTTCCCAAAATCCCAAGAGAAGAATGAAGAAGGAATTGCAGTGTGGCCATCTCTCTAGGGGAGATTTCTCACTCTCCCTCTCTGTCTCTCTCTGGCAAATGCACATGCCCATGGCAAAAATCTTTTCTAAAAAATAGAAAACAACAACTATTAGTTTTATTTTATTTATTTATTTATTTATTTATCTTCAGCTAATTTAAGCAGGTATTTTCTCATTCAAAGTGGTAAGCTATCAAAAAGAGACTAGGATATAGTTAATATAGTAGGAATTTTGGCAGCATCTTTTCTTTAGCTCTTGAGATACTTCAGCCCTTTTTTTCCCTCCCTCTTTCACCCCGCTACCTAGAAGCTATATAGAAAGGGGGTGGCTTTATGAGCCCCGTGCTACATTAGGGAACAGAGCTCACAGGGCTGTGTGTCTTGCCTAGGTCAGCCTTGCTAAGAAGGCAGTCACAGAATGCAGCAGAGAATCCCAGAGCAGCGCACTGACCCCCAGAAAGGTCACGGGCTGGTGGGGCAGCGCACTGCCCACGGGAGAGGTGATGGGCAGGTAATCATTTCCTCAGAAGTCTTGACCACTACTGATCAGCTACTCCGTAATCTTCAGGAAATGTTAGGAACTCTTCCTGCTTCTTTGCCCAGCTGGCTTAGTAATTCAGACAAGTATACAACGTTATTATGATTGTTTTGTCTTATTTTTTTTATTGCCTAGAGATCACATGTGTTCATGTGTTCAGGAGAGAGAGAGAGAGAGAGAGAGAGAGCACCCTGAGTGGGTCGTGTCGTGCCAGTCTTTTTTCCTCCATGTCTCCTCCCCATCAGCATTTCAGTGCTCAGCGGACACACACCCAGCATGTTTTTCAAGCTCTAGAGCCAGGATTTCAACCAGGGTCGGCCCATTTGGGATCCAGCTCTCAGTGTATAGCATTTAACGCCTGTGCTGTAGGCCAGCCTTTTCACGTGTTCCTTTCAAATGATTTAGACTGCCAAGTATCCATGTTAGCCGTTGTTCAAAGAGTGCAAAACATCACTTTTAGGACCACTTGTTGTTGCTGCTCCACTGCTCCATAATAGGGCATCTCATTGAATGTGCATTTAATCAGATACACACATGCAGATTAGGGAGGGCACAGAGCCACAGGCAGGACCCACTCCTCAGCACTGAAGCAAATGCTAGAGGGGAAACATTCTGCAGAGAAAAAGGAAGCCATGCAGAAGTGAGGGTCCCACTGCTGAATTTGGACACAAATTCAGGGCACAGACTGAATTTGCTGTAGTAAATAGCCCAGCTGGTAGAGAAAGAAATCACCCATTTAGCGATGGAGGGCAAGGCGGAGTAGGTCAGGGCTCTCTGAATTGCGTGTGTTGGTTTCAGCAGTTAGGAATGACACAAAGGCTGGCCCCCTGAATGGGTGGTTAAGGCAGCCGAGTCCCACATGGCTGACTGGGGGGTTCTAGTCCCAGACTCAGTAGCTTACAAAATATGCCATGCACATGGGTGTGCATGCCCAGAATCCCAAATGGAGGAAGAAGTGGAGGAGAAGGGATTGTGGTGTGATATTCCCTTAGGGGGTGTTTTCTTCTCTCTCTTCCTCCCTTTCTCTAGCACCCAAGTGCATGTGCCCTCTAGCAAAAAAAAAAAAAAAAAGATACAAGAGTACACAGGGTTTGCCTTTGAAGTGCTTTTGTAACAGGTTCTCGACCATGGCTTTAAGAGGAAAAGAGCTTTCTCATACTCCTTAAAGGGCTCCAAATGTTCTGTGGCCTAAGAGGACAGGCTCACCGCCCAGTCGCTGACCACACCCGAGACCCTCGCATTTCTCTACAGCTTCACTGTCATCACAGTTCACGCCGCTGCCCCTGATGTTTTCCTGTTCAAGAGCCGGACTCCTCCATCTGCCGCAGGAGGAGAGTCGGTGTTCCGTGATAACCGTCACCTTGCCATGGCTCTCCTTTGCAGACCCCGTATCACGTGAACCTCCTCCTGGCTGGCTACGATGAGCACGAGGGGCCCGCGCTCTACTACATGGACTACCTGGCAGCCTTGGCCAAGGCTCCTTTCGCAGCCCACGGCTACGGGGCCTTCCTGACGCTCAGCATCCTGGACCGATACTACACGCCAAGTAAGTGCCAGTGCCCTGGGTCAGAGCAGCAGAGGCCCCCCTCAGGCCTGAGGAGCACGAGTAGGTGCCTCTGGAAGCCGCTGTCTCCCATGGATCTTTGGGAAGCTGATGGAGGTCCCTCTTTTGCCAGCCAAAATGAGGCAGTGCATAACTGTAGAGCTGGGTTTTGTTTTGTTTTTAAGGGGGTTGTAGTGGAGGGCATAATGAGTGAAATGTTTGTGTTAGGTTGTGTGCTTCTTCAGTTCTAGACTGGCGGGCTTTCCCTCACTCTGCTGTGCCTAGGTGCTTACTGACTTCCTGGCTGCAGAGAGTGAGCAAGTAAGCCGAGCGGGTGTGTGTATCGGTGTGGAACTCGTGGGTATAAACAGATCTCCAGGATGACAGCTGAGGGTTTCTTTGCTTAAATGTCAGCGGTTTATTTGTTTGTTTTTAATTAATTTGTTAATTTGTTGTGATTTTCAAGCTGCTGGGTCTGGGATTTGAACTGTGGTCGGTCATGTAGGAATTCAGCACCTTAACCACTGTGCCACCTGCTGACCCAATGTCAGAGCCTTTTAAGGCCACAGACCTGGACCCTGCAGGTGCTATCTCTTTAGCCATAAGCTGGCAGCTTGGCAAACCTTCAGATGCAGGGAGTCTTTTGTGCTGAGTTGTAGCTGCTGACCCCAAGCCCAACCTTGACTCGAGCAACTGTGGGCATAGGAACTTGGAATTCTTAGTTTTTGAAGACTGTAGGTGCAGCACTGATAAACACTTCTGACCGTCCACTCTTCCCTGTCAGTGTCCTCAGAACCTGGCATATTGATTCTTTTTTGGTGCTGCCCTCTCACACAACCTCAGCCTGCTAGAGCTCCAGGCCACATCCTGAAAAGAATTTGCCCAGCCTCCTGGTGATGGTGTCTTGATTTGCATCCATCAATAATATAGCTGGTCAGCTCACCAAAATAGCCACTAGCCAGCCCCGAAGCCTAGTGCATGTGTGCTGCCTAAGGTCGTCAGCCCCACAGACCGTTCTCTTGGCTCCTGTTTCAGGAGAGTCTTAGCTCCATCCCGTCAGTTCTCTTCCTATTGCTAAACTGAGACCCAGCTGGGAATGGGAGGCTAACACTCTGGCCCGTCCTCGCGTTTCCTGATTTGCAGCTGGCAAGGGCAGATGGAATTTATTTAAGCCCTCGACTAAAGGGGGTCCATGGGGCAGGTTATGAAAAGGGCCACTGGACTTCTTCACAGGCGGGTGGGCCCTGGCCAGCGGAAGCAGCATTCTGTCACACTTACCCTTCTCTGTAGCCGGTCGACTTGCAGTGGCCGGGGCTGCTGGAGCACTGGTCTGGGGCACCCTCAGCTGCGTACGGAGTGGGTTTGTGGCAGGCTAGAAGACAAAGCAGTTTTTGCCTGTTCCATTTGTGTGGCACTCTGATCTGAAGTTTAGAACTTAATCAGAAGTCGCCAAGATTCGGATTTAATGACAGTACCTTGAGGGCTTGGTGTCTGTGTTCTCTTTCAGCTATCTCACGTGAGAGGGCCGTGGAGCTTCTTAGGAAATGTCTAGAGGAGGTGAGTATTTCCCATGAGGTCCTCAAAGGAATGTCTGGTCTCTCTTTCCCAGTCTTGTTCCCGTTCTTGGTTGTATTTTTTTCTGATCCTTGCCAGAAGATGTATAATAACCCACTAACTAGCTCTGAAGTGCTAACAGGGGTAGTTTGGTGTGGGTTTGCTCTCATGGGTCACCTCCTCATTGGTGTCAATTTACAGTTACTTTCTGATTCATCTAGAGCAGTGGTTCTCACGTTGAAGTATGTATAAGAATCAGCCAAGGTGGGCAGTAGGAACTTGGAATTCTTTCCTCCCTTTATTTATTTATTTTTTGTTAATAGAATTACTTATTTTATTTATTTTTTAATTATCATTATTATTGTTTAATTTGATCAGAATGAGAGAGAGAGGGAAAGTGAGAAAGCAAGCTACCAGGTCCTGTACTCAACCCACGGTTAGCCATGTGGGAATCCAGCACCTTAACCACCACACCACCTGCCGGCCCCGCTTTCTCACTTTCCTTCTGTTGCTCACTCTGACCCTCTCTGGTCAAATTAAAATAAATAAATAAATAAAGTTAAATAAAATAATTCTTAAAAAAAGAAAAAAAGGAATCACCTGGGGGACTTGTTAAAAAAGCAGATTACTGGGGTCAGCAGGTGGTGTGGTGTTTGGGGCCCTGGACTCCCACCTCATGGCCAACTGTAGTTCAAGTCCTGAACCTGGCAACTTGCCTTCTCACTTCCCCATTCTCTGTCTCTTTCTGTGAATTAAAATAATAAATAAATTACAGGACCAGCAGATGGCATAATGGTTACATTGCTGGACTCCCACATAGTCAACTGCAGCTCAAGTTCTGGACCCGGTGACTTAAATCTAATGCTGGGTACGTGTGTGTGCATGCGTGCCCAAGATCCCGAGAGGAGAATGAAGGAGAAGGGACTGCAGTGTGGTCATCCCCCTGGGGGGTGATTTTTCACTTTCTGTCTCTCTGTCTGTCTCTCTTTCTCTGTCTCTCTGGCAAGTACACACACCCTATAGCAAAAATATCTAAAAATCATAATAATGATCACTAATTAATTAATCTTTTTTAAAAAAGCAGTTTGCAGGCGAGTAGGTAGTATGGAGGTTTTTAAGGTGGTTAGATTCCACTTGGCCCACTGCGCAGTTCAAGTTCTGGACTTGGTGGCTTGAGAAACGTGTTGGGTGCATGTACGTGGGCATACAGAACCCCAAGAGGAGAATGGAGAAGGGACTGCAGCATGGTCATCCCCCCAGGGGTCATTTCTCACTCTCCCTTTCTTTCGCCTCCAGCGAATGCATGTGCCCTATACCAAACTAACAAAAAAGTTTTAAAAGCAAATTCCTGTTGTTGCCACACCCTGAAATTCTGACTACACTGGCCTGAAGTACAGACAGAATCTCAATCTCAAGTGATTTTGCTTCAGTTGGTAGCTGGGGCCATACTCTTAAGAACTGTTGGGTTGTGGGACCAGCAGTTAGCATAATGGCTATGTCGCTGGACTCCCACGTAGTCGACCGTGGTTTGAGTCCCGGACCCGGCGGCTTAAACTCACGCTGGGCGTGTGTGTATGCGTGCCCAAGATCCCAAGAGGAGAATGGAGGAGAAGGGATTGCGGCGTGACCATCCCCCCTGGGGGGTGATTTCTCTCTTTCCGTCTCTCTGTCTCTGTCTGTCTGGCGAGCGCACGCCCCCTATAGCAAAAACCTCTCCAAAAAAAGAAAAAAAAAAAGAACTATTGGGTTGTCAGAAAAGTCATGATACATTTTTGCATAGGAAAACATAGAAAAATATGTCATGACTTTTTCAGTAACCCAAAACTTTATTTCTGCTCTGCCTTTTTCTTTGTTTTTAATTGTCAGAGGACAAGGGCACTCACTAGAGAGAGACAGGGAAAGGGAGGGAGAAAGCACCCCCAGCAGGTGCAGTCTCTCCTCTACTCCATCCTGTCAGGGTTCTGGGCCTGCTTGTTCCTCAAGCCACCCAGACCAGGATTTGAACCACAGTCAGCCATGTGGGATCTGGCTCTCTTAACCAGGCTACAGGCCCAGCCCCTGCTCTGTCTTCTTCCCCCGTAAGCCCCACACTGTCTGCTCCCTTACCATCACATGAGTCCTTGTGGTCTGGAGAGAGCTTTCAAGACGCCGTAGAAGACAACTAGAAGTTTTGGGCCAAAGGGGAGAGTAGCCTTCAGTTTGTGAGGCCAGGAACACGGACACCACCACTCCCACTCCGGTGTGCTCCTAAGAGCCTATGGCTTTGGTGTGAGCACAGGATGAGAGAAGCAGCCTGAGGAGACTTCATTTTTCCACTGTTCCTGTGGCCTAAGGATGACTTGGATTCGCGGTCTAGTGAGAGGGTGAGAGGGGCACTGGAGTGACACTAGCTCACCTTGCTCCCAAGCCTGTCCGGCACTCCATCTACAGTGCCCCGCCTTTCTCTGTCAGTAAATCTCCTTTCCAAGGCAGAAGCTGAGAATGAACTGTGCTTTTCTTAATGATTCGGCCGAGAGGCCACATTAGTTTAGCATCCCAAGTGTTGAAGGCTCTGTCAGTAACAACCAGTGTAGTATTGAGTGTGCCGAGACCTTACTTCCCACGGACCCTGAAGGGGGTTCATTTCAGAAACCCTCATTTCCTGGGACCAGCAGTTAGCGTAATGGCTATGTTGCTGGACTCCCATGTAGTTGACTGTGGTTCAAGTCCCGGGCCCGGTGGCTTAAACTCACTCTGGGTGCGTGTGCATGTGTGCCGAAGATCCTGAGAGGAGAATGGAGAAGGGATTGTGGTGTGGCCATCCCCCCCCGGGGGGCGATTTCTTACTTTCCATCTCTCTGTCTCTCTCTGTCTTTCTGGCAAGCGCGCGTGCCCTGTAGCAGAGACCTGTCAAAAAAATAAAGAAATCCTCATTTCCTCTTGGAGCTTGTTTCTGACAGAGGAGTCATCAGCCGGAGAGGACTCTGGAAACGCAGCGGACTGCTGCTGCCCAGTCCTCAGCTGCCAAGGAGGGAGGCTTCAGGGGGGAGGCGGGCTTTCCCAGGGAAGGTGCAGAAGGGAGCATGTGGAGAGCTTCATGGCTCTCCCCCAGGGTTCCAGCGGTGTGTGCGGGAAGGGTAGCCACGGGAGCAAAGGTTTCCTCCAGTTGTGCTCCTCCGTGATCTCCAGCCATTCAGGGGCTGTCTGCTTCCGGACACAGCACAGCGCCAGCAGAGTGAGGAGAGTGCAGAGATGTCCCCTGGATGACGGGCCACCCTGTTTCAAGGAGACAAGGGAGGGACTGTTCCGAGAGCAGTCCTGTCGACCCCCGCCCACCAGCCCTCCAGCTGCACACAGACATGCTCCCACTCACCATGTCCTTACCGTTTGGGTGGACAGGAGTACCTAGGAGTACACTGCCCTGCCGCAGACCTTGCTCCTAGGGCCATCACTGTGAGTCAGCTTATTGTCTTGGACTCTTAGGAGAGAAGTCTGTGCTTATCAGACTGATTGGGAACAGACTGTGGGGAAGAACATTGGATCATCTCGTTCTTTTTTTTTTTTTTTTTAAGAATTACTTATGGGGGCTGGCAGGTGGTGGTTAAGGGTGCTGGACTCCCACATGGCCGACTGCAGTTTGAGCCCCATACCTGGTGGCATAGTTTCTCACTTTCTCTCTCGTATGCACACTCTGTCCCTCTGAAAAAAATTTAAAAGATTTATTTAATTTTATTTATTTATTTTAATTTTTGACCAAAGTGAGACAGAGAAAGAGAGAGGGAAAGTGAAAAAGCAAGCTGCCAGGTCTGGAACTTGAACCACGGTCGGCCATGTGGGAGTCCAGTGTGCCAACTTCCACACCACCTGCTGGCCCCTTGTCTCATTCTTTATCAGCAGACTGACAGGTCATGCTCACTACCTCTCAGCCTCTGGCTCCTTTCCTGAATGTCTTGGCACCATTGCTCCTAATAGAAAATCCATCCCATAAAAGTAGGAGTTCTTGTCTGCTCGTATCCCTAGAACCCAGGACAGAGCTGGCACACAGTACTCAGGACACATTGGTTGACCAATTTCCTTCGTGTCTCTTTGCAGCTCCAGAAACGCTTCATCCTGAACCTGCCAACCTTCAGCGTTCGAATCATTGACAAAAACGGCATCCACGACCTGGACAACATCTCCTTCCCCAAGAAGGGCTCCTAACGTCGCCGCCCTCCCACTCGCCGGGGAGTTTTTCTGATGGGCTTCTTTATTTTTTTCTACTCTTTTGACGTGCACTCTTGATAAATGGTTAATTCAGAATAAAGCCAAATAGCAACACATCGAGCTCTGCGGCTCAGGCCTCCGTTTACCTAGGCCACCTCAGGAAGAGCCTGGACTGGAGAGAGTCTGTTCTCTCTGCCAGGACCGGGCTTCCTCCTGCCATCCCTTCCCTAACGTGCTCATGCCCGTTAGCAGCCGACAGCCAGCTTCCTTCCCAGCCAGCTTTCTGCATGTCTTGTTTGCTAAGATCTCATTCCCTCTAAAGCAGTGGTTCTTTTTGCCCTGAAGCTTAACTTTTTAAAAAATTGCTTAGACTGAATAAGTAATGTATGCACTTGGGAATAATAGGCAAACAGTGCAGAAACGTGAAGTGAAAAACGTTCCTCCCACCCCTGTAATCTGATCACCCGCTTCCCTTCCTGGAGGAAAAGGTAGCTACTAATTTCTTATCTGTTTGGAGAGAGGTTCTGTTCCCATATGAAGTATGCATACACATACAGACACACATCTTCTTTAGAAAAGTATTTCTAAATGTTCTATATGTTGCTTATTTCATTTAATCCTACATTAGAGAGTGTTTATGTTTATGTCTACCATTTTCTTATATGTATAATGTTCTGTTACATTGATGTGTCGTGGGCAGTTAACTAGATACCTATTTTACTCTTAACCCAGCTTTTTGGAAATTATATCATTTTTTCTTAATAGGGTTGCTAAAATTCAATAGGCTTTTGGATTTTTTTTAAAGGTTTTTGCTGTAGGGCACGTATGCTCTCTGGAGAGAGGCAGAGACAGTGGGAGGGAAAGTGAGAATCGGGGGATGGCCACTCGTGATCCCTTCTCCTCCACTCTCAGGATTTTGAGCATGCATGCACTCAGGTCAGTGTGTTTTTCTCAAGTCTCTGGGTCTAGGACTTGAACTGTGGAGTCAGCCATGTGGGATCCAGCACCATAAACCACCACACCACCTGCTGCCCCCCCCCTTTTAAAATAATTATTTTTTTAATTTTAACTTTATTTATTTACTTATTTTAACTTGACCAACGAGGAACAGAAAGAGAGGGAAAGTGAGAAAGCAAGCTGCCAGGTCCGGGACTCGAACTGCGGTTAGCCATGTGAGAGTCCAGCGCCCTTAACCACCATGCCCCTGTCGGCCTCTAGCTGCCCTTTTATAAGTTTATTATTTCTTTATCTCATGAATGAGAAAGACAGACAGTACCCCAGTAGGGTCTTGACACTGTGATCCATCCCCAGCCATCAGTCAGCCGAATCCTGGACAAGCATGTGCTCATGAACTCCAACAGGTGTCCAGATATGAACTAGGAACCTTCCCGTGGGGGACTGCATCACAGAGTGCCATGTCAAACTGCTGTGCCACCGTCTGGCCCTGGACTGGTCTTAGTGCCTAATATAGTGGGTGGTCCAGAAAGTCATGATGCATTTTTGCATAGAAAATTACGTCATGACTTTCCCAGTGGCCTAATAGCTAGGCTTGGGGGTTATCAGTCAGGTCATCAGCTGTCATGGAGGTTAAGGCAGCTGAATCCCACATAGCTGACTGTGTAGTTTGAGTCTTTGACCCAGCAGCTTGAAAAACATGCTGGGCCGCATGTACGTGTGTGCCTGAGATCTGACAGGCTGGACGCCTGGACGGGGGCGGGGTGGGGGGGGAGAAGCATGAACTAACCCTGTGGAGGGTGCCCCCATCCCTGACCCTCACATATGCATGCACACGTGGTCCGCCAGAAAGAAAGAAAAGCATAGACATTTAAAAGAAAAAGAAATCATCTGTTATTTCTCGGACTTTCTTCTTTTAGAGTTATCCATTTAATTTTATTTATTATTATTATTATTTAATTTGACCAGAGTGAGAGAGAGAAAAAGGGAGAGAGAGCGAGCCTCCAGATCTGGGACTCCAACCACAGGCAGCCATGTAGGAGTCCAGCACCTCAACCACTGTGCCACCCGCGGCCTGCCTTCATGGACTATCTTAACAGCCTCTTAACTTTGCTCTCCTTTTAATCTCTTCCTTTTCTACTTCTTTCTCTGTACTCTTAAAAAATCCATTTGACCATATGTTCGCACAACTTCCTGATGGTTTTCCATCATTTAGAGTAAAGCCCAGTTCTTCTGTTGCTCTGCTGGCGTTTCGTAATCCTTTCCCAGCCTAAGTCTGCAGTTTCCTGGCCCTCTTCTACACCTCTTCTAAAGCTTATGGCCCAACGAAACTGTGACCTGAGTCACACGTGTATGACTTCATACACACGCCAGTTGTGAGAAGAGCACGCATTGCTTCATGGGACTTATTTTATGTGTGTGTGTGTGGTCTCAGCACAGTGCACTCTGATATCTTCTGTTTCCTTCTGCTGGATTTTGCTTTTGAAATGCCAGCCGTGATTTCCTGATGTTTGAAATACTGGGAATACACAAGGATTCTTTAGCACCCCTGACCAAATTCTCTTCACAGAATGGTCTTCCATCTGATTGCTTCCTTCTGTTTTCAGGTGATGAATACACAGAGAACAATGCAATTCCTTCCCAGGCTAGGGCTGTGGGGTGGGGGTAGGTTGCAGAAGAGAGCAGCTGTTTTGCCTCAGGGTAGGGAAGCTCAGCCCTGCCTGGTGAGGAGCTGGGAAGGCTGACAAGGAGGTGGAAGAGGGTGCAGAACTGGCTTGGGAAGCTCTGGGTGTTGCAGCCAGCCAAGCAGCAGCGCTGGGCCTGAGCTGCCTGAAGCCCAGTGCTTCCACGTCTGCTTTGGCTTGACCATTGGCTGAAGCAGCAGCAGGACCCTCCCGGGCAGAGGTGGGG